AGTACTGTTTCTGATTGTAATATATAGACCAAGATTTCCAAAATTAGATCCAGTGATTGTAACTTTTCCAGGAGTACCTTTCTTGGTTGGTGTTGCAAGTTGAATACCTGGTGCGATGAATGATGTTTTAAAGACATTTGATTTATAAGTTGAATATTGTGAATAGATTTCAAATTCACCAGTAGATGCGGGTATAGTACATATTGTCTTCTGAATGTTACTTTTATATTGACATGTAATAGTAGTATTCAATGCTTCTTGGATTGTCATTATATTACTGATTTTAGTGAAGGTATATACTAACCCAATTGGATTTGAGTTGGCATCAATATCACTCAAATATTTTCCACTTATAGTAGTAATACCTCCTTCTACACCAACAGGACTTAATAATTCAATTAATGGCGTCAAATAGAATGAATTAGAGTTTGATTCTTGATCAGAAACTGTGACAGTCAAGTTGTTGTTCATATCTGATGGTGATAATGGAATTACAACTTTATAATCTTGAATTGATATTGGTGTTTTGTTGATTGAAGTGCTTACAACTTGATTTGAAGTTCCGAAATATTCACCATTGATAACCAATGTATCTTGATCTTGGAAGATCGAATTGATAATTGGTTTTTCATTGTCAAATTTCAAAATGTTAGAAGTTCTGTTGGAAATTTGAAGTTGAATATTGTGATCTTTTCCGGTGTTTGGTTGAGTTGTGTAAAGAACTTCACTATTTGAAACCAATGTTAGAATGTTCTGACTAATTCCAGAATCTAGAATTGAAAGTGAATTTGGAGAACCAAGTGTTGATTGTTCAAAGAATCTTCCAGTGATTGTGATTTCTTGACCTTTGGTATCAACAATGGTTGGGTTGATTGATTTCAAAAATGGTTTGAAAATCAATTCAATTGGTTCTGGATCTGTATTTTCTCCTGAGAGTGTAACATTTCCACTTTGTACAGTCAGTGGTAAGTTTTTACATTGTCCAAATGTATTGTTACTTGTACATCCACTCAATGAAATTGGACCAATTGAAACAGTTAATCCATTGAAATCAATTCCAAATTCATTTCCAAATAATTCAATGAAATCATCAACTTGTTGAACTGATGTGATGATTGGTGATGCATAATAGAATCTGAATGAATCTGAATCAATTCCATCAACAGTTGCAATTGAGTTAATCTGACCAAATCCTGATCCAATTGTACATTCGTATTTATATGGTGATGGTCCACTTAAAAATGTACATGTTGATCCAATATTATTGAATTTGAATTGAACATTGGTTGATTGTCCTGCTTGGTTGGTTTGCGAAAGGAAATTACCTGAAATTACAAATTTTCCACCATCAACACTTGGTGAGGTTCCAGATGTCAATATTGGTTTCAATTTAAAAGTATTTAGTGTTGCAGGTTGATAATCAACAGTGACGGTTAATGCGGCATTTTGAAGATTATCAGCAAGAGTAATGGTGATTTGAGTGTGGCTAGTGGTCAATGTAATTTGGTTGGATGGGATAGATGTGGTTCCAATGTTAACTGAAATCTTTGAGAGATCATTTCCAAAGTTTTGACCTGAAATCAACAAAGTATTTAGAGTTTGAGCTGCAGTGCTGATTGTTGGTGCGGAGTAAGAGAATGTCAATGATCCAACTGATTGAAGTGCTCCATTGTTGTTTGAAACTGTAACAATCTTTCCAGTACCTGTTCCAGATGGAATTGTCAACATTAAAAGTTGATTGTTGGTTTTGGTGAATGTTGATGTTGTTGTTCCAATTTTAACAATAATATTGGATTCAAAGAATCTACCATTGATTGAGACTGTTGATCCACTTGTTGGAATTGAAGTTTGTCCGAGTGATGAAAGGTATGGTACGAGATTTACAGTTTGTGTTGGAACTGAATTGGATCCTGAAATTGATAGAGTTCCACTTTGAACAGTTGTTGGTAGGTTTTTACATGAGAATGCGGTGTTTGTACTTCCAGACAAACAATTGGAGGTGATATCAATTGATCCAAGTGTTATTGTCAATCCATTCAGAGAATTTCCAAAATTAGTTCCCACAATATTAAGGTAATCATCAACTTGAGTAACTGATGTGATTGTTGGTGAATTATAGTTCAAATAAATATCACTATTTGATACAAGAGTGTTAACTGTGACAATAACTGGTTGTTTGGCATATCCTGCTGGTGCAGTGCATGATAGAATTGAATGTGCAGTTTCAACTTTAATTCCAGTACAACTTCCAAAAGTACCAAGTGAAATTGATATTTTAGATGAATCAGTGAAGAAATTACCACCATTGATTGTGATTATACCTCCAAGTGGTGAAATATTGCTGACTGAACTAACTGTTGGATTGGAATATTGGAATGTGAATGGGGATGATACTTTACTTCCAACAGTTACAGTTGTTGAGGTTTTACCAGATCCCGAAGGTATTGTACATGTTAAAACTGTGTGAGCAGTTTGAATTGCAAGATTAGAACATGATAGACCTTGTACTGAAACTAATGATAGAGTATTAAAGTAATTAGTACCAGTGATTACAATTGAACCACCTGATGTTGAAATTGGTGGTATATTGGTAATTGTTGGTGATTCATAATCAATATATTGTGCATTTGATGTTGTGAATGTATCAACTGTAACTGTTATACTGTAAGGTCCATTATATCCAGCTGGAATATCCACAATCAATAATGAGTTGATATAGTCCCTTGTATAGGGCAGTTGAAGTGTAGAACTTGATAAATATAAATTAACAGTTATGGTTGAGAATACAGTACCATAGTTATCAATTTGTAATGATACAGATGACCCATCAGTTGGAACTGAATGTCTAGCTACACCTACAAACTTTGGACTAATACCACCATATTGAGCAATTGTAGAACGTGCAGTACTAGGATCTAACATTTCAATAAATGAATTTGATAGATTAAAAGCAAATCTATGATTTATATTAACATTGGCTAGATTAATAGTATTAGATGAATAGGGTACTACTGCTGATCCAGTGTTTGGACCATCTAATAAAATGTATTGAGAGCCATTGTAATAGTATGGTTGCCATATATTCCACATTGCGCCATTTAGAGGTTCGGGTAGAGTTTTATAGATGAGGTCATAGAAAGCAGCATCTTTAATGAAAGCCATTGCACCTGTATAACCATCTAATTTAAGAGCATCTGCATAATTGTCTTTAGAAACTTGCCATGATGAACTACTAATGAAACCATTATAGAAAAGACTAGTAGATGGATAATAAAATGCAGCCTTAAAAGAAGAAAATATCAGTCCATTACTGTTAACAGTAACAGGTAAGAATTTACTGGTGCCCAAACTAGCTGATAGTGAACATGTTATAGCTTCGTCTGGTCTAATTATAGATGGATTATTACATGGAATCTGAGTTGTACCAATTAATACAGATAGTTTGGATGCTATAGTGCCAAAACCAGTACCTGTAATTGTAATCAATTCGCCACTATTAAATTTTGGATAGACTGAGGATATAAATGGTAAATTGAATGCCCAATTTACTTTATCAGTTTTTGAATATACATCCAGGAATCTTACAGTGTATTTACCAGTATTTGATGGAATTTGGCAAGTTATAGTTGTAGAATCCACAATGGTTTTACTCTGACATTGAAATGTTGTTGAATCAGATACTGATGTCCATGTAACTGTTAAACTTGCTAAATCATATCCTACAATATTTTTAATTGTAACTTGACCTCCAACAGTTTGTAAACTATCTATAATTGGTTGATTTAAACCACCAAATTCACAAATATATGATTGAACAATAGCATTATTATTGTTATTATTCCAATACATTGGATCACCAGCTGTTTGTAACTACATTCAGTTTTAAAAGTCTATTAGTAAACATGTTATCTCTATCATATCTATAATATATACACACCCAATGTTCATTTGGTATTAAATTTGGTTCAACAGAAGCAAATGTACAAAATTGATAACATTTATCAAAATAAAGATTATAAAGTGGCATTCCTGTTTCAGGACCAGTGTTATAAACCCATGATCCTAATTTATCTAAATCTGAACCACTAATCCATGCAGATCCTATAATTGATGCTAAACTATTGGTTTTTAAAAATTCCCATTCTTCAGGAGATGTAATGGTAACCAAATATCTATTGTATATAAATTTTACATTTTGGTTAAAACTTTTTTAGATTTCAGAAAGAATATTTTTAAGATTATATCATACCCGTTATTTGATCCTACTGTTAGTTGAGAACATTTTATTTGTGCATCAGTATTACTAATGATGGCAGTTTCATCAACTCTAACATAAACATGATTATTCACAGTCCAATTGAAATATTGACTGAAAGTTTGTGATCTAACCAAACATAAATTTATAAATAATAATACAATAGTAATAGTAAAATTTGAATGTTTATGCATTTTGTTGTGATGAAAATGGATTTTTTTTTTGAAAATTTTTGAAATCTAGATATCCATTGTTGCCCGAATCTGAAATCGTTACAAAAAAAAAAATCCATTTTTTATTTTTAGATATTATAATAAGTTAAATCAATTATATGTGATTGAGGCTTTCAATATTTTAGATATATTTTTAATTAAAATTTTCGTATTTGCTTACAAATTATTATTATCTCTACTTTAAATTTAAAATTTTTTTTCAAACTAGAAATTACTTCAAAGATTGAGTAAATATTTAAATATAAAATGAATTGTTTATTATTTATATTTTATATTTATAAATATATTGTCTTCATTTAATATTGAATTTATAATTTATAGTCTTATAACAAATTGTAAAAGATATAGTAATAACAATTACACTAAAAAGTCCTAAGATGATAATCATCCTTTCCTGATCTAATTTTATACTAATCTTTATTCTGTACTATTGTAATTGTCATTCTTACAAATTTGAGAAAATGAAATTTTTTTTGAATATAGGCATTATGAAAATTTTTTTTTTTTGCAATGTACGAATGCGCGAGAGGTTTAAGCGGTTAGTTTCAGGTACTAATGGGAAACCATCGTGGGTTCGAACCCCACTTCGTACACAACCTTTTTGTTTTTTTATAAAAAAAAAAAATTTTTTGGTGAGTGGCTCCTATGTCCACTTTGATATAGAATGTAACGAAGTCCAACAGTGGTATCCAACAAATAACAACAGGTAGAATATTATCTGCATTTTGAGAAGCTTGGAAAGATTACCTATCCAACCACGCTGCTACCAGAATAATCCATCACAAAGGCAGAAATACCTTCTTTAGATTTTTTGCAAGATGTCTACCCTGCATAAATCACAGTTGAAGAAGAGGTGAATGTATGGATCAGTGAATGTTAAATTACATTCGTTTAGTGGACATCTCAATCAACTCTCTATCAAGAAAATCCACTCTTGGAGTCTAAATGCTATAGATCTGAATCAAATCAGAAACAACGAAAAAACATTTCCAACCCTGATGTCTATAATAATGAACCAAATGTGGAATATAATCTGCTACAACCTATTTGAAACGGACAAATCCAATAGATCATCACCTGTTATGAATACTGCTATAAAAAAAGAACTATCCGAAACAATCAACATTGCCAAATGGAAGCTTCTAATCAACAACTCCCATGATGTTAAACTTAAATTTTAAAATTTTAATATAATCTTAAAATTTTAATATAATCTTATCAAATAAAATTTTTAATCTTTTTTTTATAAAACATTTGAAAAATGAATTTATTTAAAAAATATGATTAAAAATAATATTAATCTGAAGAAATTTGATCAATAATAATAAAAGTCAATTGATCAATGACTTGTTGGAATGTTGGTCTCATATTTGGATTGATATGAGCCATCTTTTGGAAGAGTACTTCTAAGCCAGGGTTTTTCTCTTCAGTGTGGAATGGGATGGTTGGTTTTACATCATTTTGAATCATAATGGAAACCAAATCCATATCTTGATTTAATGGGTAAAACCAGAATGGTTTTACACCAACCATCAACTCGAATAAAACAAAAGAGAAACTAAAGATATCAACCTTCTCATTGTACTTTAGACCACGGCATAATTCATTACATCTCCAACGTAGATGACAAATACCATAACTCTTCTTTTGGAATTGACCATCTGGACCTTTTTGATAATAGTCAATCCATTCACCAGGGGCTGAACCAGCTCTACACATTCCAAAATCGGCAATCTTTGGAATGAGACTTTCTGTCAATAGAATATTGTAACTGGTCAAGTCTCTGTGGATTACATGGCAAGATTCATGAAGGTAGTTCATTCCTTCAGCTACAGATCTCAAGATTCTCAGACACTTTTCATAACTTGGGAAACTGTGGCCATTTCTACACTTGTCAACGTAGTCAGACAGTGAGCCATTGGAGCAGTACTCACTGACTAGAGCAGGTCCAATATCCAAGATTGCAACACCATAAAACTTGAGGACATTTGGGTGTTGGCAATCTCTAAGGATCTCCATTTCCTTGACCATTTCATCGACTCTTTCGTCAACACCCTTCATCATCTTCAGTACTTTCAGGCATATCAGAGTACCAACAGGCAATAGAACATCACCAGTGTAGGTACCCAGATATACTTTAGCAAAATTTCCACTGCCAATTTCCTTTCCCAATTCAATATCACCTTTTGGGAATTGCTCAAATATAGACAGTTTGTCTAGTGAGACATTGGACAGCTTCAAAGATGGCAGTACACAAACATTGGAATCTTGAAGAGATGGAAGGGATACAAATTTGCTATCCATTGGTGTTAAAGCAAATTCTAAATTCTGTTGACTATTGAGACCTGAAGTGGCACTGGAATTTGAAACAGAGACACTGATCTTTGGATTCATTGGGATACTGGAACCAAGCAATGTAGACTCTTGACTGGTAGAAGAAGTTGGGACCATACCAAATGTAAGACCAACTGGTGTGAATGGGGTGCCATCAGAAGATAAACCACTTGATTGAGAGACTGGAACAGAGGAAATAGAACTGAAAATACCAGACTCTTGGATGGTAACTGGAGTTGATGAACCAAAACCTAATGACAGACCAACTGATGTTATAGGAGTGGTAACAGAAGAACCAAAAGTATTGGAACCACAAGGAGTACCAGCAGAAACTGATGGGGGTTCCAATAGGTTTACAGACCCCTTACTGCTACCTTTTGAGCACTGTTCAAACAATCCAGAAATTGTATCCGCAGTGAATTGACTTTTGCAACCAAAAAGAGAGTCTCCTTGTGGTGTAGTGGTGGTGGAACCAAATGGACATACAGATACAGAACTATTTGCACATTGACCAAATAAACCTTCAGAGACACCGGATGTACTTGAAGAAGTACTGGGCTTACTTGTCTTCTTCTTTTGATGCTTCTTGCTGTTGGATGTTGTAGTTGATTTTGTGGTTGAACCAATAGAAAACAAACCACTTATACTTGATGTTACTTGAGAACCAAACATTAAACTATTATTATTGTTAGTATTGTTGAGCTCTACAAGCTGTAACCCAACATCAATACATGAACCTTCGTTCAATTGTACAACAACTACTGGGTCAGAGGTACAACTAGATTCTACAATCATTCCAGTTGTAGCAACAGTGGAAGTAGTTCCAACTACATTCTCTTCATGGACATCAGTAGCAACAGGAACATCATAATCAGCTACCAATACATCCAATGGATCTTGAACCACTTCTGAGAGACCAGTGACTTTAGAATGGTTTCTAAACAACAAACATTCAGATACATAACCATTAATTGGATCTGAATTAATCTTTACAAAATTATTATTATATATAGATTTAATATTTTTGTTACTGATGTTGTTGTTTATATTTTTTTTAGATTGATGTTGTAGATGTAGTTGATATTTTTTATTTTTTATATTATCTATATTATTATTGATATTTGTGTATTCTAAAGCATTGGCAACAATAATTTTTGTTGAATAAACGATGGTAAATCCAAATATTAAATTTCCTAAATTTTCAGACAACATTGTATAAATATAATACTACAATTATTAAAAATTATCAAGTTTTATACCAAGCTTAATGAATTAAATAGAAATAAAAAAATAAATTCTATTATAAATTTTATTTTATAAATCATATATTCATGGTTTAATTTTATAGTATTGTAAAAAATACTTTAATATCTTTAGGTATATGAACATCACAAAATAAAAAAAAAAAAAATTAAATTTTGTATCTGTATCCACATATTTATAATATATTCAAGATATGAAAATGATAAATAAAAAAAAACAAAAGAATAATAGAATAACTTAAGATATTTAGTATATACGGCGTGTTTAATGAAATTTAATTGATACTTCTTAATGTTTTTAATTTGATGTCAAATTTTGAAGCTCTATATTTCTTGTAGCCATATATACCAGCAATTATAAGTGCAACACCACCTACACTGCAGAGGACTGCAATTAATGGAATTTTCCATTTCTTTGATGATGAACATTCTGTTTTAATCTCTTCAGTTGTCTCTAATAATGATGAGAAATTAGGATCAAGGATTATTTTATCTCTGAATGTTGGTGTGTTCATTGAAACGAATAATTCTAAAGCGCTATTGTTAGTGTTTTCTTTGTATAGTTCATCATTTTGGTCTAATAATTTAACTTGTGAATTTAGAATTCTGTTGTCAACTAACATTTTGTTTGAGAATTTAGCCATCATTGTGGTTCCTCCATTTGAAACTTGGAACCATCCTAATGAGTCTGATGATGTATCAAAGGTGGTTGTGGTTTCCTTGGTTTCACATTCATATTCAACTGATTTTGGTGTTGTTGATTGGTAGATTACTTGTAGTGAGTTGATGGATTTGGTGAAATTCCATTTACTAACATGAATTTCATATTTGATACTGTTATCAGCCATTTGCATTGTTTCTCCTGCAAATTGAATAGTTTGTGATGTTTTGAAATAGGTTACAAAGAGTTCAACAATTGCTGGATCAGAAGTGAATGTTCCTTTGTAGTATTTCTTATCTCCATTTACAACTGGTTGTCCCCAAACCAAATCTGATGTTTTGAGAGTTTTAACAGTACTTCCATCTATTGAATTCAATTCTCTGAGATGAGTGACTGCAATTTGGAATTGGAAGTTGTTTCCAGGAACATTGGTTGTTCCATTATTATCAGTTGGTTTTTCACCTGGTTGTTCTGGAAGATCATCTTTTTTAGTTTGACAATCAGTTCCAGTGTATTCATTTGAACAAATACATGTTCCATCTATGCAACTTCCAAATGGTGAAACACAATTTGATTGACATTCTTTGATTAATTGATAGTTAAATACATCACCATAACCAATTTTTCCATCAACAGTTACATTTACAGTCAATGGTTGTGTGAATCCATTTGATATCTCAGTATTAATATCACTTGCAAAAGTACATGTTATCTTTGTAGAACTTAATGAAACTGCATTTGTGCATTCAGAGAATGCAGTACTGTTTTTGATTGTAACAAAAAGACCTGTGCTACCAAAATTAGATCCAGTGATTGTAACTTTTCCAGGAGTACCTTTCTTGGTTGGTGTTGCAAGTTGAATACCTGGTGCTATAACTGATGATCTAAAGATATTTGATTTATAAGTTAAATATTGTGAATAGATTTCAAATTCACCAGTAACTGGAGGGATAGAACATATTGTCTTCTCAATATTACTTTTATATTGACATGTAATAGTAGTATTCAAAACATCCTGAGTTGTCATTATAATATTGATTTTAGTGAAGGTATATACTAAACCAATTGGATTTGAGTTGGCATCAATATCGCTTAGGTATTTACCAGATAATGTTAAGATACCTCCTTCTACACCAACAGAACTTGATGATTCAATTAATGGTGTTAAATAGAATGAATTGGAGTTTGATTCTTGATCAGAAACTGTGACAGTCAAATTATTGTTCATATCTGATGGTGATAATGGAATTACAACTTTATCATCTTGAATTGATATTGGTGTTTTGTTGATTGAAGTGCTTACAACTTGATTTGAAGTTCCGAAATATTCACCATT